ATGAAATGGGGGGGAATGTGATGAATTTTAAATTCAGCTCAGATTAGTCAAGGACATAACTCAGAGTGGATATTCAAAGTCAAACTTCTGCAGTCATACTGCATATTGTAATACCGTCCTGGAAAAATGCTGAGTCTCAGTAGTTGATGTCCAAAGGTTCTGTGGTAAATTATTTATGGGAGGAGAAGTTTTTAAAGAGAGAAAAGAAACAGTGTGCAAAATTGTGCTAGAATCCTCACATCATTAGAGCTGTTTCTTGGCCCCTTTCCCCTTTCTTCTTAAGGTGAAAGTATAAAGCACGTTCTGATTGCAGAATTCTTCATTCTCTAAATTAGGAATCAGCTGTCACTAATGGAAGTGGGTGGAAATGGAAAATTGCTGGCTGCTGGCAGGGGAGGAGCCCAAGAGCTGCCACATGGCAGCCACGGTTAAGGAAAAATATAGAATACGGTGTAAAAAAATACAGGCAGTAGCCAATATCAGGAGGTCAGTTGAAAGCTTTGGGTATAATGAAGTGTCCAAATGTAAGAGCTAAGTATCACCATAAGGAAAGCATCAGGAATGAGAGGAGGTAAGAATTTAAACAGGAAATGTGGATGAAATTAATAGAAAATACGGACTTGGGGCGCCTGAGTGGCTCAGTCGGTTGGGTGTCCGACTTCAGCTCAGGTCATGATCTCATGGTCCATGAATTCGAGCCCCGTGTCGGGCTCTGTGCTGACAGCTCAGAGCCTGGAGTCTGCTTGGATTCTGTGTCTCCCTCTCTCTGACCACAGCCCCCATCTCGCTCATGCTCTTCTGTCTCTCAAAAATAAACAAACATTTAAAAAAAGGAAAGAAAAGAAGGATTTAGCTAGGAATAATGCTATGTAAGATGTTGCAATTCCTCTGTCACTCGTTACCATAAGACCCAGTCATAAATATGACAAAAGACAGGGAGTTTAAATTTTGGTGTACGTTAAAATTCTTTTTTCAAAATAGTTTCCACTGGTCAATGGTATGTTTATGATTTTTCTAGCTTAAGCTTCCTACCTTAAGCCTCACCACTCCTTTAAGACATTTTTTATTTATTTATGTATCTATAAATCATCTATTAGATTCTGCATTTATCAGGAAAGAGTTGACAATGAATAAGCCCAATGACTATATTAGCATTGATTAGTTTGTCCAGTAATCAATTGATCAAACAATTGATTGGTTTGTCCTGCTTTGTAGCAAAGCTGTTGACTTGGAGGAAAAGAGAGTCCATAGAAGCAGAACAGCATTAAGATTTGAAGGGGATTAAGTGTGGTGATGCATTGGGGCACCTGGGTGGCTCAGTCGGTTGGGGATCTGATTTAGGCTCAAGGCATGATCTCACAGTCTGTGAGTTCAAGCCCTGCGTTGGGCTCTGCACTGACAGTTCAGAGCCTGGAGCCTCCTTCAGATTCTGTGTCCCTCTCTCTCTGCCCCTCTTCCACTCGCCCTCTGTCTCTCTCTGAAAAAATAACATAACATAACATAACATAACATAACATAACATAACATAACATAACATAACATAAAATAAATTTTCCCAAAATGTGGCGATGCATTGCTGATAGAGGCTGGAGGGAGAAAGCTGATTGGTCTAGACTACATACACAAGACAGAATCACACATATTTTACTGAAATCCTTGAAGTCAAGTGTGTTTTAGAACACAGAAATTTTCAGCATTTAGGTTGTTCATCTTCCTTAACCATTGTTCTACAAAAACTATAGAACACTAAAGTGTAGACTCATAACAGCTACTTTGCAAATAGAAGACAGTCAGTGCTCACCGAATTTAATATATATTAGGTATGTTACATGTAAGCTGCCCAGTAATTTAAATAGTTTCCCTAAGGTGCCTCGTTAGCGCAGTAGGTAGCGCATCAGTCTCATAAATAGTTTCCCTAGGCAGTGATCAAGCATCAAGTTTACTTATCCAGGTAGATTAATTTATGATTCATCTTGATGTACCTAAGAATCTTTTCTATTCCATTACCAAATATACTACCCGTTCCTAAAATTATATTTATATGCAAATATATAAATATATATTATATGTAAATTCATACTATAATAGGTATACTGTAATATGTATATAAGATATTATGTATATGTATACATATATACACATATATAGACATTTATAATTTCATATGACAAAATAGTTCCCTTTGGTATGCCATTATGCTTAGGCTAGTGATAATCTAAAAAAGGATAGGAATGATTTATGTTTGTCTTTGCCTTACAAGTGTTAATCAGACCTTCTACAGATTACTTAATTAAGGATTTTGTGTGTGGTGGGGAGGAGAGATACATTCAATAAACATACACTTAAAACAGATGGTAGGTCCAGTTTGGGATGCCATTCATTCATTCACTCACCCATTGTGTTTTGTGTTCTTCCCAAATGTCAGGGACTACTCTAAGTGCTATAGATACAGCTAAGGGTTATATTCAAAATATTTAACCACTTGTACTATGGATATCAATTAATCAGAACAGACACTGACCAAATGACACTCTAGGAATGACTGCATATAAAAAATAGTCTCTGCCTCCAGGGGGCTTAGCATTTATTGGGGAAGATTGATGAGTTAATAGGCAACAGATCTAACAAGGGTAAACACAGGACAATAACACTTCTTCAAATAGTCTATGAAGTTGTTTTTTCCTTATTTATATTCTTACCTACTCCATAATTCTTGACACATTGAAAATTGATAATCCAGAGGAATCCAATTAGCCAAAAATTGTTATCTTCAGAAGACAATTTAAAGTAAAATCATCTTTAGGGACTTTTTAAGAGAGTTAACTTTTGAAGTTGGCAGCTTCTTTCTTTCTTTTTTTTTTTTAAACAGGATATAAATCTCTCATAGCTGCTAAATCATCCATTTAAACCTACCTTAAAGATCTGTTGCTTTCAAGGTCCCGTATTTGTTACATAGCATATTAAGATTACTGCATAGATCATATTTCATGTTAAATATGCTTTCAGAAATTGCCATGATTGAAAAACATCAGAAATTGAAGCAAAGAAAATTATCCCATTTTTATTCGAATCAACCAACTAAATTACCTCCTACCCTACTTGCTATGATTTGGAACCTAGTCATAAATGCTCAGAAACAAATGACTTTAAGGAATTTTGTTTGTTAATTTCTAAGACTTGAGATAGAAAATCCTTAGTATGTTAGCCTCTTAAACATTTTCAGGATGTTAATTAAATTACTGATTATTTTTAAATTGAAGAATTTTCCCAAAATGTAAATTTTACCCCTGTAGTCAAATATCAGGATATCTATTTTCTAAAAATATTTCCAGATATGGACAAAAAAATTAGAAGTCAATCCCTAATGCATAAATAAAAGCTATATGCAGTTTTAATGTTACTTAGGAATACAAATAGATATATAAATTAATTAAATTATGCAAAAATACACTAGTAGACCCGTGACCTAATACGTTTCCTAAGTGGCCCATCTCATTCACTGAAATACCTGTTTTTCTTCTTACAGATGTCATACTTCTCTTATGCAGTGTCCGTGGTGCATTGCAGATGTTGCTTTGACTCATAATTTCCTCTAGGTGGCGATATTTTCAAGGAAGCCACGCCAGCACACCCACCTAATTAGAGAATTGAGCTATATCAGCACCCAGTATTTACACCTTACTCTAGCTACTATTTTAATCTCCACAAGACGAAAAAATACGATTTGGGACACCATAAGATTTTAAGTTCTGTCTCCAAAATCTAACAAATTGAAGAGATGGGTATTATCCACTTTAAAATTCTGAATACATGCTTGAGAAAAGATGTTTCAAACACATTTGTCTGAATTAAGCTAAGATTTTGATTTGTTAAGAGGTGACAGAAACATGTTACTCAGATTTTAGTTTCTGGACTGTCTATAACCTCTTTTCTAAATCCCTGACATTGTTATTTTATGTGATGCTTCATTGATCTCTTTAGATTGGTACTTGTTTTTTTCCACACTATCCACAATTGCTCTTTTGTGGGTATTCCATTGATGAATGAGGAAAAGTTGGTAAATAGTGCTAATCCCACTTCCATTTTAGATCCTTCCATAATCTATCAAAAAGAGAATGAGACAGGGTGCCAGGGTGGCTCAGTTGGTTAAGCATATGACTTCAGCTCTGGTCATGATCTAGTGGTTTGTGAGTTTGAGCCCCGCTTTGGGCTCTGTGCTGACAGCTCAGAGCCTGGAGCCTGCTTCAGATTCTGTGTCTCCCTCTCTCTCTGCCCCTCCCCTGCTCACTCTCTGTCTCTCTGTCTCTCTCAAAACTAAGTTAACGTTAAAAAATTTTTAAATAAAAAAAGAGAGACAGAGACAATAACACAGAAAGAGACTCCTTTAATGTAGATAAATGTATGAGGTGGAAAGTACTCTACAATTCAGAAAGATAGGACTTTTTCTTCCCTTTCCCACATTCTTTGTGTAATAGATGTCTTTCAGGACCTTCATCCAGCCACACTTGCCATTTGTATATATAAATTTAGCTTTCTTCTGTTTTGGAACTTCACCTTTTGCTTCTGTTTGTGTTTAAAATTTTCAGAGGTCCACCCTAAGGCTTTAACCTTCCAGAGATGTGGGGCTCACAATGATGAAGCATGACTCCAGTGTCTCTCTCCTAAATGCTGTCACAGACTAATTTGTAGGATCCAGTAATCCTTAAAAAAAAAAAAAGAATATAGAATTAAAGTACCAATTAATATTTATATAGCTATTTGCAAGGCATTTTCACATTTTTGATATACTTTGACACTTTTAACAAACCCGGGTCATCAGAAAGCAAAAGTGATCACCATCCCCATTTTACACATAAACCTCAAAGGAGTTAAGGTCTTTCTTTGGGGTTAAAATTGGTCACTGAAAACCCAGGCCCCAAAGCCTTTTGTTTTTCCTTTGTAAGCCCCGTAGCTTTGGCTATGTCCAGCCGTTTAGAGTAAGACTCAAATTCTGTCCCCAGTGCCTTCCTTTGGCCTGGACCTGACCCCACACGCCATGAGCACACTGCTGTATTCAGCAAGAGGAGTTTCGATTTGAAGTGGTTTGTCTTGGAAGCTTCCGCTTGGAGAGGATTTATTGAACCAACTTATGAGAACCTCCCAGCTTTCTGATTGGTGCCCTGAGCAATAAAGGTAAGCACTGGGGTTCAGGGCACTCACACTAAAACTTCTGCTGGCATTCCATTTGGATCCTTGACAAGGTAAGCTCCATCTCTCTCGCAATCTTCTCCTTGGCCACTGCCCAAAAGGCAAAGCCCATCATCCCCTGCGGTTTGTTTATCTATCTGCCCTCACCTAGAGTCCCACTGATGTCCCCTCTCTCTAGTCCTGCCCTCCTTTGCCCTCCTTCTGTGATCTTCCTCTGCTACCTCTGGAAACCTCAAGTCAGGGCCAGTTACAGAAATTGTAGGGCTCAAGTGCAAAATGTGAACGTAGGGCCCCTTGCATGAAAAAGCAGGGGAAGAAGCTCTTTCCTTTCTTCTGTGCTCTCTTTCTGAACCAGTCACAGTGGTTTTTAAAAAATCATTCCTTAACGTTTATTTACTTATTTTCAAAAAAGAGAGAGAGCACAAGCAGGAGGGCAGACAAAGAGGGAGACAGAGAATCCCAAGCAGGCTCCACGCTGTCAGCACAGAGCCCGACGTGGGGCTCAAACTCACAAACCGTGAGATCATGACCTGAGCCGAAATCAAGAGCTGGATGATTAACTGTCTGAGCCACCCAGGTACCCTAAAAAGATACTTAAGTGTCATGTTCCCTTGGGTGAGGTGCAAGTATAGAACCTCATGGGAGCCCAGACCCTGCCGTAGCACTTTCGGTGTGGGGCTTGTATTCCTCACCCCCTATTCATCCCCAAGTCCATACGTAGACCCTCAGTGGGGGCAGCAACAGTCACTGATCGGTAGGGGTAGTGGGGTGCCGGAAGCAGGTGGCTGAGGCCTTGTCCAGGGAGCCAGGGAGGCAGGACAATAGGTGAGCCGAGGTTCTAAGCTCTCACACATTCTCCATCGTCCCATCAGATTTCATTTACAAAACAAATTGAAAGGTAAGATTATAAGAATTTGAAGGCAATGTCCACAGAGTGTTAGAGAGCAAGGCCCCGTTTGAGGGCATTAGGAGCACACTCTGGAAGCTCACCTGCCCCATGAGGGGAGGCCTTCCCAGCATCTCTGTCTTTTTTCACATGGAACCTTCTGTCTTAAATCCAGTGCTCCTCCAAGGAACGTGGCTTCCCTTGAAGCTGTCTGAACATACACTGCTTATTCTCTCAAGTTCATGAAGACCAGCGTGAGGGTGGGAGGCATAACTCCTGCTCTGCAGTGCTGCCCACTTGTAAACCATGACTCTCAGCCTAATGTGAGTAAGCACCACAGCAAGCGCATGACCAAGGCCCTTCCACGCTTTTCCTTTTCATCGATCAGGCACCCATACACTCTCCATCTTGCAGGGATCATTGTATCGTCTCCAGAGCCCAATCTTCCTCATCACCCCAACCTTGCCAACCCCCCATCTCTGCTGGAAACCCATGCCATAATAGCTATTTCACAGGCCCCTGGCCTCCACCCCACTTGTCTTCGTGTCTGCCATGTCACTTAATTTTGTTGTCATATCTCAGTCTTGCCGTAATCAGGGGCCACAAGACCAGTAAAATCTTAAATGTTCCTTTTCTATGGCAACTCTCTTCTCTTATTTTGTTCTCTAGCCCTGAAGAGCAGCTCTTCAAGAGAAGCACAACTTTTTAGGGACGAGCAAGGGAATGGCTTCTTGCGATGGAGTAGAGAGCAGGTTTTGATTTGGGCTGCAGGGTTTTAAATTGTCCCATATCAAATTGTCTCGTGTTTCATGTTTTAGTACTTCTGTAGTTGATGTCATGTGCTTTTGATAGTGTTATCACATTTCCAACTGTTTTATACATACACACGCAGACACACACACACACACACACACAATTTCCATTCTAGAAACTGGAGGAAAGAAAACACACTTTCTTCTCCACACTCCATCCTGCCAGCTCTCTCCATGGAGGCCCACTACACATTTTTCTTAGATTTCACTGTGACTCTCAGACCCACCAACACTCATTTTTCTTTCACTCTGCCAAATCCTTCCTGGCTTCATTTTAATTAGTAATATATCTAAATTTCACAATCTATCACTTGACCTGCTTTCTTGAAAATATCCTCAAATCCTTTGCTGTTGTTGTTGTTGTTGTTGTTGTTGTTGTTTTTAGTTGCATCAGCCCAGAAAATCAGGAACTCAGGGTCACTAACAATGATTAAAAATAGTACTAAACATTCCATGCTTCATATGTCTCACCTTGGTTTTATCTAATTTACTCTTCGCAGTGATCTTATGAGGTGACTATAATTATCCTCAATTTACAGAGAAGGAAACTGAGGACCGGCAAGATTCAGGTGACCTGTTCACGTTATTTCTGAAGTTAGAATGTGTGCTTCCCAAACTTGAGTAAGTGAGAATATCATGCAGAGATCTTACAAAATATGGTTTCTGGGATATCCACCTTGGATATTCTGATTTGGGAGGGTTTGCAAGTGGTAAACGAATCTGCATGTTTGACAAGCCTCCCAGGTGATTCTCTGACGCTCCGTTGAGGTTCCCATGATTGTCCTTTCGTTAGGTTTTTATTTGGATCTCCCCTGGAAGAGAAAAGACTATGTGGAGGAGGAAGGCAGCTTAGGAAGCCCTCGCTCTTCCTTTGGATCATCACAGTCCTATTATTATTGCCCTCCTGCAAGCGAAGTGAGATTAGAAAGATCTGTGTCCAAAACCAAATTGACTTTTAAACACAAATCATACAATGAGTAATAGATCAGCTTTGTCAATTATAGGAAAAATAGTCTTATTCAAGTTATTGACACAACTTGAAACCATAGCATTAATTGATAGAAAATCGAATGGTTTTTCTTTCTGTATGGATTCCTTTCTTTTTCTTTTGTTGTTTGTTGTTGTTGTTGTTGTTGTTGTTGTTGTTGATTTTGACAATTGTGACTTTTAATAAAATTCTTCAATGGTATTCTATAAACTGTTACAATATTTCTACTTCTGACCATGAGAAAGTAAAACAGGCAGGGACATGTCCTGGCTTCTTTGTATAATTATTCACCTAGAGATTATAAGATAGAGGAGTGACATTATAAATTTTGTTAAAATGAAACATTATAAAAACATCTTATCATTAAACACGTGATTTTTAAATATATCAATAGCAGAAACACCCAGCATGTTTGTTTAATAGCCTGTGATTTTTCTTTTTTTTTTCAATTTTTTCAATTTTTATTTATCTTTCAGAGAGAGAGAGAGAGAGCGTGAGCAGGGGAGGGACAGAGAGAGAGAGAGAGGGAGACACAGAATCCAAAGCAGGCTCCAGGCTCTGAGCTGTCAGCACAGAGCCCGACGTGGGGCTGGAACTCACGAACTGTGAGATCATAATCTGAGTCGAAATCAGACACCTAACTGACTGAGCCACCCAGGTGCCCCTTTCTTTTTTTTTTTTTTCTTTCCTTTTTTTTTTTTTTTAATGTTTATTCATTTTTGAGAGAGAAAAAGAGAGAGTAGGGAGGGACAGAGAGAGAGGGAGAGAGAGAATTCCAAGCAGGCTCTGCACTGTCAGTGCAGAGCCTGACCTGGCACTTAAACTCACGAACCCTGAGATAGTGACCTGAGCCGAAGTCAAGAGTCAGACGCTTCACCAACTGAGCCACCCAGGAGCCCCGATAACCTGTGATTTGTCTGACTTGCTAATAACCTATATGTTGTAAACCGTACTGCCTTTGAAAGTCTGGGACTCTACATGCATTGCAGGGTGTTTTACCTTTCCATAATTCCCTTACTTGCATGTTCACCTGATTTCACTGCATTCATAGTATTCAGTGTATCTGGAGAACTTCTGAAATGTTACATTCCATTTTTTTCCCTTATGTCAGTGGCTGCTTTATTAGATGGAGACAGCTGGGATAACATATGTTTCTTTAAAAGAAACCTTTAAAATTTAAAATTTGAGAACACACTTTAAAAATCCACCAAAAAGTAGGGTGAATTTTGCCTCTTATGAGATTTATGAGATATTTTAAAGGATTTAAACACCAGCTTGTCAGAAGCCATACCCTACACTTGAAAGCACATTGCAACAGGAATTAAATCCAGAGATCTTTTCATTAATTTTTGGTGCAGTTTCATATAAGTCATTTAAATCATTATATGTCTTTATTTACAAATCAAAGTTAATAAGGCTTGTCTGGGTACCTCAGAGTATGTATTTCAAGACGAGATGAAGCAATGCAAGTAACAACCGATGGATGAAGAGTGGGAGACAAGGGCGGGGAAACACAGTATTTACCAGACATTCATTCTGTTTACTGGTCATCCATTTGGTGTTAGGCACCAGGCCAAGCACATCACATAGATTTTTCCATTTAATCTTCACAATCGCTTCCATAAAGTAGACCTATTATTCCACATATTAAGGGCAGGATAGTAAGGTTCTAAGAAATTAAGTAATTTGCTTAAGGCCAAAAAGTAAATTGCAGAGCCCTATTGGCAAATTCTTTTGACTCCGCCTTTCACACGTATCAAGAATCAGTCACTTCTCACCACCTCCACTGTTGCCACCCAGGCACAAGCTACCACCAAGGCTTGCCTAGGCCACTGGAATAGCTTAACTCCTATTCTATTTTTGCCTTTGTCGCCCGACAGTCTGTTCTTAACACATAAGAGGGAGCCATTTAAAATTCGTCAGATCATTCACACCTCTGTTCAGAAGCCTCAGATAACTTCCTAACTCATTCAGAACAAATGCCAAAGTCCTTAATAAGTCATAGACCCCTATGCATTATCTGGGGTCTTGCCTCCTGATATTTCTTTGGCTTTGACCTCTTAGGAGTCTGTGCTTTGCAGGCTCTAATCCAGCCACACTGGCCAGCTGTGTACATACATCCCCACGCATTTCCCTCACCTTGCTCTTTCTCAAACACTGCAGCCATGTTCCTTCTTGGGCCTTTTGCATGGGACTGTTCTCTCCAACAGAAATTCTCTGTCCCTAGCCATCTACTTGTGTCTCTTTCTCGTCCTGTTCAAATACTTGCTCCAACGTCACCTTCTTAACAAAGCTTTGTCTAAATTGCTTCATTCCCAAACTTGCTCTCTCCCTTGCTTTATTTTCTCCTTGCAACACATCACCATCTGCCACCGGGAAAAAGAATATATTATTTTGATGACATCTCCCATTTCTCCACTAATAGATAAACATCATGGAGGTAGGCACTCATGTGTTTTCACTGTTGTATCCTTTTGGGGAGTGTCCTGAAGTTGAGCTCCTTTCTTGTTTTGTTGCTGTTGTTGTTGTTTTGTTCTGTTTGTTTGTTTAACGTTCATTTATTTTGAGAGAGAAAGACAGAGTGCAAGCAGGAAAGGGGGGGGAGAGAGAGAGAGAGAGAGAGAGAGAGAGAGAGACACAGAATCCAAAGTAGGTTCCAGGCTCTGTCAGCACACAGCCCGACAAGGGCTCGAACTCGTGAGCCATGAGATCATGACCTGAGCCAAAGTCGGATGCTCAACTGACTGAGCCACGCAGGCGCCCCTGAGTTCCTTTCTTGTAATTGCTTTTGGATGAAGGAGATATGCCTCGCCAAGGTAAATGCCTTCCCTGGAGAAGCCCCCACTAAGTGACCAGTGAATGAGGCGATGAAGAACCAGACCCCTTCCCACAATCTGCGACAACCATGAGGGGCCATCTAGCTCAAGAGCTCCCAGAAGACAGGCCGAGGCCCTTTGTGCAACCACGTGTTTACAATTCATCTTCTCCCTCTACCCAGTTTTGCTTCTTTCACTTTTTTCTAATTGTTGTTCCTTAGAGTAAACCCAATAAACCTCCTGCAAGCAAATTTCCATCTCAGATGTTCTTTCCTTGGGAACCCAATCTATGCCCACCACCAACAAAAATCATGTCAAACAGTAGGCGCTTCAACAAATATCATTTCAATAACTAGGTAAGTAAATCAATGAATGAATAAACTAGGATAATACAGGTTCAGAACCTGTATTCCGGAGTCAGAAAGATCCTGCATGTGAATCCCCACTCTACCTCTCAATTCCTGTGACTTAGAATTCCTCACTTAACAATTAATTTCCCTCATCCATGAAAGACATTATACCAGTATCTTTCTCAGAAACTTTTTGTCAAGATTAGATGAGAGAAAGCTTCTAAGACTCCCATCCTAGTAAACGGAACATTTAAGTTCTTAATAGATGCTATAAAAATAATCATTACTCTTACTATTTCTTCAAGAAATGTGGCCAACTTCCTACATCAAGAGTTATTTCTTTCTGTCGCTTGATTCAAATCTATTACCAGGTGAGAATATGAAGAAGGAAATAAATGAAGACACTTACCTTCATCATCCCTGGGACAATATACATGAGAGTAAAGATGGGGAACACAAAAACAGTCATTATGGACACAGGTTAAATAGACTAAATAAAACTATAGTCACAGACTGCTTGATCAGAAAAATAGTGGAATATACCAGTAAGTATTATAATTCTGTTAGGACGGTACTGGACTTAAGTTAGGCTGTCATCTAAGTGATTCTAACAGTTACATATGAAGGAATATTTCAAGATCTCTGGCTAAAGTTTATTCCAGTATTTAATCCCTCGGTGCCATCAGATTCTCCTTCAAATAACTTTTCATCTGTTTCTAAAACTTTAATCTATTGCATCCAGTTTTGGCTACTATACGAATACAGGACCACTGATCTCTGTCTTTTTTGAGCCTCAAATACAGTATTCTAATTAATCAATGAGTTATTTACTGAACCTGGTGCCAAATACTGGACTGGGCTTGAAGACAAGTTCTAATTCACGTTCCTCCTTGCTGTTCTCTGACCTCTTTGGAGGCCCAGAGTCCCTTTCATCTTTTATAATTGTCTCATTTTCATTTTTGTAGATTTTCTTTGAATGAGCTCCAATTTCTCTACAACTCTCATAAATACTTCAGGAAAGGCTTGATTATTGCCAAATATGGGAGAAAGATTACTACTCATGATAAGCTTGTCATACTCCTATTAATATACTCCAGCATAATGTTAGCTTTTTAAAAAATTGCTTTATGCTGCTGAATCATACGATTTGTGTTAAATGATGAGTTTTAAGCCATTTCCCCCTTGGTACTTGAGCACACAAAGTCTTTCTTAAATCAATTGAATTTGTTTTTTTGTTCCTCACTGTACTTTCATTTGAGCTTGGTAAATCCAATCCTACTTTTTCTTTTTAGTTGTTTTTTCTACACTTTCAAGCTGAATTCTCTCTCTCTCTTTCTTTTTTTTTTTTTCCCAAAGAATTGGCAATTCTTCCTATACCCTTCCTGGTTTTAATTCAATTCAACACAATAGTTGGCACCTACTATGTGACAGGCATGTGCTAGATGGAATTATGGGCACAGAATTATTAAACATGAGCTTTATTAAGAAGTTCTTAATATTTCAAGTGCCAAAATAGAGAAATGCATGCATTCAGAGGGAGGTCAGTAGGTGGCTTCCTGGTGGAGGTAATGCTAACTTGAACTGCAATGATTAAATAGGAATTAAATAATGAAGAAGACGGGAGCCCAGCATTCCAGGAAAGGGGTAGTTACTATACAATTACAAGTTTAGAGACTTAAGATAGTAAATGTATGGGGAGACTATAAACAGCTTCTCATCACTAGTATAGAATGCAAGCTGAGGAATCGTAAGAAACTTTATAAACATCATTTCAACCTAAGGAACTAATAAAATATTATCTAATCTTTGGCTGGCCAGTGGTTAATCACCCTTAGTACCATTGATCCTCATTATTTGCAGATTCCATGTTTGTGAATTTGCCTACATGCTAACATTTACCTATGACCCCAAGACCAATATCCAGGTGCTTTTGTGGATATTCACAAGCTTGTGCAGAGTGGTGAAAAGTTAAGTCGACCAACCCGCACATTCCCAGCTGAGGTCCGACAAGATGACTCCCCTACTTTCTTATTTCGGCTCTCCTACTCTAAGCAAGCATCCTTTCTGAGGTCTACTTAGTGCCATGTGCGTTTGTATTTTGTGCTTTGGTGATTTTGCTACTTAACATGGGCCCAAAGTGTAGTCTGCATAGTTCAGGAGCGCTGCAAAGTGCAAGAAGGGTGTGCTGTGATTTCTGGGGAAGATATGGATGTTAGCTAAGCTTCACAATTAACAAGGCTAAACTAATCGGAAGAGAACCGTGTCTCCACACAAAGTCACGGCCGTGCCCGAACTTTGACTTTTCCTCAGTATGGAGGGTAGCTTGGCATTTGGTGATTTCAGCGCATTGTCAGTACTGCCAACCCATGCTTACCTTTGAGCATCGTTGCCAGTGACGTCCTCGAGTGAAAAGTGTCGGCAGGGAATCTGTGCCAACCGTGTACAGTTCCACCAAAGTGGGCGTGAATTGCCTTTGTAGATCTTCAGTGAGTCTTTATTGATGGTGACTATAATGGCGGTGACAATGATGACAAAAATGGGCAAATGCTGCACATTCACCTAAAATGAAGCAGCTGCACCCAGACTAGGAAAATACATGCTGTGAGGGCACGTTCAATACAACTAAGTCAATCTGATGCTTAGCAAACTGCTTCTTCACGCACGGCTTTGTACTAGGATCGACCATGGGCAACACAGACTCTGTCCACAGGAAGTTTGCAATCTAGTGGATTTGTGAGGGTAAGACCGTTGTTTACAGTGATGTATATTAAGGAGACATAAAGAGAAGGGATTAAAGTGTTACGGGGTTTTAATGGTGATCAAAATCATACTTGGTAGTGGGGGAAATCTCTAAAAACGCTTACAAGGGAGATCATAAAGGAGATCATGTTTGAGCTAACCTTGGAAAGAACATGGTCAAAGCCAGGAAAACATGAGGCATTCAGAGGAGAAAGCATCCAGCTTGCTTTGAGTGCAGACTCTGTGAAGGTAAGAAGCAAGAAATGTGACTAGAAAAGAAGGCTGCACTCAAATGCAATTGGAAGTGTTTGAGCAGAGGAAAAATAGCAGGAACGCTCCACCTTTGGAAGTGTTATCTTTTGAGAGAGGGCTGGAAGAGGCACGTGAACAGTTAAATCATTCTGGATGCAGATCCTGAGGGAGATTTTGAAGCCCAGGGACAGGTGGCTGCAGGAGTAGTGGAAAGGGGACAGACATGGCACATTTTGTTGCGCCTGCACACACAGGAAGCTAAGTCTTACAGAGCTGAGTTCTACGGGCAGAAAGGGTTGATGGTCATAGGAAATTCAGGAGAAGCGCCTGACTGGATTCCATTTTATACAAGTTGAGTTTCAAAGTATCAACAGATACGTAAGTGAAAATACACAAGTGGACACTTGGCAAATTGGGTATGGGTCATGAGAGAAATTGGAATAGGATTGGTTATTTGAAAGACATCTGCTTAAAAAACAGTCTTAAATCCTATAAAGTGAAAATCCTTTCACGAAAAAGTGAAAGCAATCAAAATATGTCCCACATGTAGAAATGTGTATATAAAAATATATAGCATACATACGTGTGTTTAAATGTGTTGTCTCACTGAATTCTCAGTGTAATTTTGTGGGTCAGTTATAGATTGAAAAAAGGGTGGAAATTCTTTCATTTAGAAATCAGGAAGGAAAAACTACCCCCCCCCAATTAAGGAGAAACGGAAGAAAATGAGGGTGGAGGGTGGTGGAAAGAGCTCTTAAAATTCAAAGGTTCTTTCCTTGTTTTGCCTTAACCAGGTGCCTATTATTTATTTCTTATGTAGCCTGCTAGACTAGGATTTTAACTGGTATTCCCGACTTTCTTTCAGTTCGTCAATGCTCCATTCATCTGTTAGTGTGATCTTGAAAACGTTGCTATAATGTTTTGTTCCTCTGCTTAAATACCCACAGCGGTCCCCCCTTTCTTATCACAATGTCAAAGCCCCCTGAGTTCTCATTCCCAGCACCGTTGGCTCTGAGCTCACTCTGGGGCACTTGGCATTTATCAGACCCAGCAATGTAGGTTCAGATCTGTAAAACATTTCTGCTGTTGCTCGTTCCTGCCCACAAGCTTACCTCCTCCCAAATACTAGCAAAATCTTATTTAGCCTACAAGTTCCAGATCAAATGTAACGCCCTCAGATGCTTTTCTGATTTCCATATCCCAAGCAAATGGTCAGTCCTGTGTTGCCCAAGTAGCCAGCCCAGAATGATGTTGGATTAACAATTCTCGGTGCTCATGGGAATCTGACAGGATTGATTCCTTTGAAGGAATTGCATAAAACTAAGCAACCAAACATAGAATAAGTCTAGGTTTGTTTGCTCGCTTTTAAGTAAAATATTAGGACACGTGTAAATTTGAAGCCCTATCTATGTTAATATCAGAGTAAATTTAATTGAAAACTGCCTTGGGTGTATATGAAAGCTACCAAAGTGTAACCAGTGTTTTTTTGCATTCCGTACCACCTAGATTTGCTCAGACATGAAGTATGTTACGAAGAATGGTGGCTTCAGCAAACATTTGCTACAGACAAGGGACTACTTTAATGTACGCCTATTGTGAAAACGATTATAAAGGATGGTTCTTTCAAGCAGTCCTCTGTTATTGCATATACACAATCAGATTATAAACATTTTCTGTAAGGCCATGTTTGAAACAACTCTGTGGATGTGAAGTTATAAAATAACAACAGTGTTCAGTTTGATTCTTTTGGGACGTGACTCAATATGCAGTTTCAGAAGCACAAACTGAACTTCTAATTATTACTCAGTGGGCGTGATCTTAAAGCCCACCGTCTGCCTCTCGGTTGAACTCTCTAAACCGATAAAAGGGTGCTGTATTACTGAAGACACAGCACAGGCAAGAAAAACTTTCAGAGCTTCAAGCCATGAAAATTGCATTTCACTTCTGCCCTTTTAAAAGTGTGTATGAGATCCAGCCATAGACAGTCTCACAGCAGAGTCAGCATGCCTTTCCAGGCTTTACTACCAAGCAAGGGTTTTATAATACAGGCAAATTATAATGCAGATATGTATTAAAACTGTTGAATGAGGACAATTTGTACCTTGTACTTTCCAAGAATTTTTCCAAGAGACTTTTGTTCTTTTTTGTTACAGATCTAGGCAAAATTAAATAAAAGTTGATAGCTTGAGGAAACAAACTTTACAAAAGGCAAGCTAATTAAAATATTGCTGAACACTGAAGAAATTTTGACAGATGTCTTATTTCCGGCATTAATTCACAACTTCAGACCTTAACGAAAATTCTACTCCGTCTTTTGTTCTTGCCGATATCCAAACCCTCTCACCTTCTGCTTTGTGTAAAAGTGTTTCCAGGCAACCCCATCATAACTATTGCTTTTGTCTCATACCCTTTGTCCACCTCAATTCTTTTGTCATTTCTGTTACATAGATAGGCAATTCCAACTATACCTTTGCTACTTACGGAACCTATTTGGCATTGATTCATCCTATCTAATCCTATTCTCTCGCATTCATAATGGGTAAAAACATAAAAATACATAAATAAATCTCTCTTCCCCCAAAACTATTTTTGAACCCCTTTCCTTTATCGCCTTTATCTGTCTTGCAGATAGATAAACACTCCTATTCTCCCCTGCCTTTATTTTTTCTCTAATGCCAAACTAGAAGTTATGGCAGGGGTCAGCCTCCTCTGTACTTCATACTGCTACTTCTTTTTAAATTTTTTAACATTTATTTATTTTTGAGAGACAGAGACAGAGCATGAGAGGGGGTTGGGGGTTGGGTTAGAAGCAGAGAGAGAAGGTGACACAGAAGCTGAAGCAGGCTCCAGGCTCTGAGCTGTCAGCACAAATCCTGATGTAGGGCTCGAACTCATGAACCGTGAGATCATGAACTGAGCCCAAGTCGGGTGCTTAACCTATGGAGCCACCCAGGTGTCCCCATACTGCTACTTTTAAGGACATTTAACATATCATGTTAAACAATATATATTTACCAGATCAAGTCCATCTCATTTTGGGGTATCAATCTTTTAGAATCACTCTTGCTGCTGTCTCCTCACATGTTTCTCCTTAAGCTTGTTCATTGCATCAATTTCACCTGCTGACGCACCCAGTTTCCTTAAGGCTACTTATTCTGCACAGAACTACTGTCTTGTGACTCATCATGCTGGAAGTAACCATTAGAAGGTGTCATATCTCCTCTGAGATCTCCAACCCAGCACCTTCCCTCTTCCACCATAGGTTACTTTCAGTTTAATCCTCTTACTCAGCTGTTCTGCAACCTAATAAGCAATAATATAATTAAAGCATTTAGAATCTTAAAATAACAGAGGTTTCTATAGCAGTAACCTTTTTTCTCTCCTAAACTTTTGGCTCAATTACTTCAGTACTAGCACAATCAAAGCTCTCGTCTTCCTGAAACTTTTCAAGCCACTGATGTCAATTCCAAGTCAGAATTCCTTCCTAGTAACCACGGCCTAAGTTCCCCTAACAAGCCCACAGAGTAATCCTTAGGAAAGATACAGAACCACAGGGAATTGAACAATTAGAGTCTTGCTTTCCATTTTTAGCTGGCCTTCACCACTATCTGGTACTCTGATTATTCATGTATAATTAATTCCCCAGTGAATTTTCCATACTTCCTAGTCTAGGTCTGCTGAAGGGTAACTGGAAGTCCTCAATCTCATGGTTCCTTCAATCCGTATAGTTGGTATTTAGATTTATTTTATAGAGATGCATTTATTTGTCATAAGCAATCAACACTAAGACCTGAGACGCTAACACTGTAAGAAACTAAAAGGAGGCTCGGGCTGAAAACCAATCCACACCAGAAGATTCTAACATGTGTTACGGTGGGGCAAAAAAAAAAAAAGTTATAACCTTGAGAACTTTCTAGTCCGAGAGAAAGAGAATGAAGTATTTTAGGTCATTGGTATGAGGAAGGAGGCTCAGGAGGGTAAAACAGATCCACCTTGAGGGACTTGGTGAGAATCCGGAAGTCATAGAAAAGAGATCTGAAATATAGTCTAGGGAATATGGGATAGGGACCAGAAAAATGAGGCTTCAGAACTCAGTTCCAAAGAAAGTCGATGCATTATCAGGCAGAGGCTGAGACACGGGGCTCAGAAGCAAGAATGATCTTGATGCCAAATAGTGCCTTCTGAGGTCAGGAGCCTAGAGCTAAACTATTCACAGGATGCAAGGGGTGAACTAGGTCCACAGTAAGAGTGGAAACGCTCCTGGGAGCGTTTAGGAATGGGAGCCAATAGGAATGATAATAAGGATGAAGCAGTGAAGAGAATGGAGTGAAGGAGCATCTTAGCACAGATGCTTGTACCCCCTTTCCTTCATGTCTGTGCACCGACGCATATTTGTACGTGCTTAAAATTTTTCTTCAGATTCACAAGAGGAAATGCCTCTAAATAAAACTAACTGTTGCGTTTGTTTGATTGTTTTCTCAGACAAGACATTTTGCTTGCAGAGTCCGTGGAGGATTTCTTTAAATATTTTAATTTTCTCTGCTTTGAGAGCTGGGTCTTACACCCGCACGACTCGTTATGATTTCAGTTACCACGCATGTGGTATTTTAAGGGCCATATTATGAAGGGGAAGACACCTGGAAACTTATTCTGATACTGTCATTTTACTGCCCTAGGATGGGAGATGGTCTCAATTTAGAGGCCTTCAGTTGCTCTTCCCCTGAGAATAGCTGTGGCTTCATTGAGTTCCTCTTTTTGTTTGACGTTTAATACTTGATACTTTTCGCATGGATTAGAGTATCAAAACCACTCTGCAGAACTAGAGAGGCTCATTGGAAGGTAATTCATAGCAAAAAAAAAAAAAAAAAGAATCAAAATTATAGGATGTCCCTGTGTCTCTAGTAACTGAGGCTGCAACAGCCAGTCAACTAATCTTTTATTTGCAAAACACAATATTTTATTAATAAAAATAAAGGTAACTATTCCACCTGGATTGTAAACCACACCTTTCTACTCTCTTCTAGAGCATTGTTCTTACAATGCTCTTTTTAACAGTCTCATATGGGTTCCTGACCTTCTGCCTGCAATTTCCTCTAGTCTCTGCCCTTCCAAAAAAATTAAATAAAAGTCACTGTTTTAACCTTCCATTTTAACTCTCGCCTTCCTCTTTCTTAGCAACTTTTTTTAAAGTTTATTTATTTCTTTTGAGAGACACAGAGACAATGCCAGTGGGGTGGGGCAGAGAGAGAGAGAGAAAGAGAGACAGAGAGAGAGAGAGAGAGAGAATCCCAAGCAAGTTCCATGCTCACTGCAGAACCTGATGCAGGGCTCAAAACCACGAACCATGAGATCGTGACCTGAGCCAAATGCAAGTGTTGGGCACTTAATTGAGCCACTCAGCTATCCCTTTTCTGGCAGTTTTTAAGTCAAGTACCTGCCATTGTCAGACAATCTTGAAGAAATCATACTAAGTCATTTCAAACTCTATCATTAATCTAAAACAGGGTAACGAAACTTACATGTCTTCTTGTAATAAAGTTCTATAATTCTAAAAGTATGTTTTTAAAGATTTGCAGAGACACCTGGGTGGCTCAGTTGGTTAAGCATCCTACTCTTGATTTGGCTCAGGTATTGATCTCACCGTTCACGAGTTCAAGCCCCACATGGGGCTCTGCGCTGACAGTGGGAGCCTGCTTGGGATTCTCTCTCTCTCTTTCTCTGTCTCTGTCTGTCTAAAAATAAATAAATAAACTTAAAAAATAAAGATTTGCAATTCTAGAGAAGGTTAATAATGAAAACCTACATAAGAGTTAATTTGGTTAAACTCCTTATTTTATAAAGGAGAAATTAATTATTCTTTAGGATATAGTATGTGACTGAACAATATTTTTACTCATGATTTATATTTGCCCAATTGACAGCATCAATATGTAACATTTAAACTACTAAATAGGGATCGGTAGCTACTATTTTGAAGAAAATAAAGCACAACTCTATAAATGTATATAGAGTAATACCACTCTAACAATACTATATATTTTTTCAATGTATCTGGCATTTAATACACCCGGTAATTATTGCACAACATTTCAGATTGAGAAATGTGGGCATCTATTGTGTATGTCAATTACGATAGTAGCAGGTATAAGCTTTTTTGGCCTATTTACTCCTTTACTGGGTAGAATAGGGGACCAAGGAATGTCAAAAATATCCAACACGTATATAGTACTTACTGTGTGTTCAGACAGTGTCCTGTTTTTTAAATATATATTCTATATGTATCAACTCATTCAGTCTTCACAACAACCCTAGGAGATACCTATTTTAGAGATGAATAACCTGAGGTTCAAAGAGGTCAAGTAACTTGCCCAAGGTATGTGGAAAATTTGGAATTCGAATACAGGCACTGTGGACCACGTTTTTATTCTAGGGGTGCTTTCTTCTGCTTCACATCAGGATCCTCTTTTCTGTCCATCTCTTAGCTTTGCTTGTCTCTTCTTTGCTTGATTAACGTGGTGTCTCTCCCACTTTGTAAAAATGGCCACCTGCAATACTGATGGAAAGATACAAATTTTCCCTTCCCATCACATGAAAAGTCCAGGGGGGGGAAGTAGTCAAGTTAACCTAATCTCAGCAGCCAAGAAAGTGCTGTGATTGGATAGATTTCAGTCACGTGACAAGCTTTTACCCGGCAGAGATCCATCCCATTAAAACCACTTCAAGATAGATATTAATTTTGCTAAATATAGCAATCTTTGAAGTAGATTCTAGAGTGGGCTAAATGAGAATTGAGAAGTGTGAGACATGAACTTACCCCAATCCCTGTTTTGAATTTTGTTTTGTTTCGTTTGTTTCTGGCAAGTATAATTCAAACCCAAATTTTTTGAAAGTCAAAGAGAAACCCACCAGATTCCTTGTGTTCTCAGTTAACTCAGCTGACACAGTTCTTTCCATCTGGTCCCAGGAATTCTTGTGGTCCCATCTTTCATGATAATCTTGGTATGGTTCACATGCTACTAAATATATTGGTAGAAAAAGGGGAAGGAAAGAGTTTCAGTATACCTTATGAGTGCTTTTCACTTACCAAGGTTTTTTAGAATAAAAACCTGGTGAGGAGCTGATTTTTTTTCTCCAATTCCCCTATACATCAGACTAATGTTTCCTTGAGGGGAAAATGATACAAACACAGTTTGTTTATTTGTTTGTTTGTTTGTTTGTTTGTTTTAC